CAAGAATCCAGTTAGGTTTTAACAGTGAACTCTGATCTAATAGAAAACAGGATATTGTTTTAAAAAGAAGAGCTATTTTGACCAATTAAAGACAAAATTCCAGTTTAAACACATTCCTTTCTGTAGTTTCTAATGGCAGAGCTACTTGAATCTTTTGATATAAAAATAACACATTTGAGTTAATATCAGATAATATGCTAATGCAAAGTTTAATACTAGGCCTAGAATTTTTCTGAAAAAAAAATGTCCAGGATTATTAAATGACTCCAATGCTTTTTGCCAAAATTGAAACATTTCACCCATTCCAAATTGCTTTTTTCCTGCTTCAGACTTTTTAAGCTTCAACATGCTTTACTAAGCAAATAACTGCTTACAGGTCCTATTTTTATGAAACAAAGTACTTTACAATAGGAAGGGTTTTTGTCTTTACTGAAGCTGAACTGCAATACTTATTATCTGGTCGGTATAGATAAAAATGGGGTTTGACAGAATCCCTCTTTAAATCTGATTATCATCAACTATTACTTATATCATTGCTCCTTTCACCCATTTTTCATAAAACGGCCAATCAATGCACCATTGACACAATAGGGCTGATTTACTAAAAGCAAATGAGCTGTTCACTTTCCAAGGGACTTTTCCCCTAACTTAACGACTGAGGTGACTGCTGATTTCCATCATCCAATCATGTACAAGCAAAACTATTTTTTTTTTTATTTTCCTTGTGCTTGATTGGGAATTCTTTTAAACAGAATTTTCACTACATTCACTAACCTAAGGGAGCATTCTCTTTCAAAGTGAACAGCCTGTTTGCCTTTAATATATCAACCTGAAAGAAGTACTGAAAATCTTAACAACGAATCACAGTTTGCTTACACTCCATAAATAATAGAGAAAGCAAATGATGAGTTGTTTGGACTGCAGCCTTATATACCTGTGCAAATAAGGGTGGATGTACCATTTGTATAAACTATGCAGATGAACAAAGGCCCATTGGAACTTAGGGGCCCATTAATACTAGATATAGCCCTGATAGGTGCTGAGACCTTTTCCTCTGTCTCAAAGACCAGGATATAGATTACGTCTATCTGGTGGCCAATTGATTGAGCAAAAAAAATGTGTTTGTTGCATGGGGGTCCCAAAACCCATTCACGCACTGGAGCTCTTTGGTGACTCTTTCTGCCAATGTGCGCAATAGTTTGATGAATACCAGCACACCAGCAGTATACAGGGCAACACTTATGTGTAAAGTGAAAAACAAAAACCATAATAACCACTTAGATTTCAGTTTAGTGAAAGTCCATTTCTGTTTAGCTGTTTTATTGAATAAGTGAACAACAGCTCTCAAGACACCTAAGACTCATCAACAGATCAAAGATAAATAATTATTTTTTCTCAGCTGACAACATTCAATCATATTCAGGAGCAAAACACAACACAAGAATCATACATAATCATACACCATTGTCTGTGCATATAAACCAAACTAATGTAGAGCATGTAGAGAACTGTAGTCACATTCCTATACAGAGAAGGTAGCAATCAGATTTATACTAGAAAATGTAAAGCTCTGATTGGCTGTTATCAAATGCTGTGCCTCTGTTTTCTTTTTACATTGCAAACACTTTTCCATGTTAGCAGCTCATTTTAACTTGTATTTCCTTTGGTGGACATTATAATTCATCCTTCAAAAAAAAAAAAAAACTGTGCCTAACAAAAGAGGCCATTTTCTTTCACACATTCAATATGTATTGTGTTAACATGCTCATAAACATCTAAAAAACAATTATATGGGGTTAATGGTCACCTCCACCCAAAAACTAATGTAATATTTTGATGCATACTGTCAACTGAAACTACATACTGGCTTCTTGTATCTTTCAGGGACTCCAGTGCTGAGATTTTCCAATCAGAGTTTCTAGATTCGTCAAACTTCAAAAGTGTTTACAAAGCCAAATTATGTTGGCACTTTGCCTGTATGGTATTTCCATAATGTAAGGGCCTGAGGGTCTGGATAACATGTTGGGTCTTCTTCTATCAGCTATTTAGTGGGACCCCCAGAAACATATTTATCGATAAAACCTATAAAATCTAATACTATACATAGTAATTATACAAATTGTATTTTGGAAGCCAATTTATATATTTAGTTGCATGCTTAGCAGACAGGATACAGTCAAGGGCAACATGGTGGCTAAGTGGTTAGAACACTTGCTTTGTAGCCCTGGGTTTGATTTCTACCAAGAACTCTTGTCTATATGAAGGTTTCACATCCTCTGTATGCTTTTGCTGTGTCTTTCCTCCTGGTTCTCCAGTTCTCCACATTCCACCCAATAGCATTTGATGATTAACTTTCCCCAAACTGACCTTATTATGTGTACATGAATATATTACTGCATTAAATTATATTAGATCCCTAAATCCTTCAGGGACTGCAATGAGTCTTCAAAGCTGCCCTGTTAGGCACTACAGTTTGCTAATCTATAAATGTGTAAAATAAAAATAAATTAGAGTGTGCATCCTAGCAAAAGGAGACTTGTAAAATGGGAGTTGTGGCCACAACACTGCCACTGATGTACAATAGAGTCGGAGGAAGCAGAGACAAAACTCATTGTGGGGAAATCTTCCTCCTAGAACATTTGAGAGATACAAGAAGCCAATGGGTGACTACCATGCTGCATCTGTTTTCAGAGGGTTGGCTTTTAGGTCCTGAGAAATAATAATGATTTCTACAACATCATATGTGCTTGGTTGTATACAAACACATTTTCCAACTGGATTGGTGGTCACTATTTCTAAACAGAAATGTCCACCAGTAATTAACCACATGCATTTTGCTTCACAAAGTCAAGCAACTCAAGGAAAAATGTTGGGTCTGGAAGGAGGGCAATCTTCATGAGATCCTTAGTGAGGGATCCCATTGTATATCCCTGGTTATAGTCAGACAGTGTACTGAGGGTAATAAACATATTCAATGTATAATTGTTGATGTTGAATGTTACAGTAAATATTAAAGCTAAAATGCATTCATGAAATAACCCTTGTAATATTACCTTTCAGCAGCACATGAAAATCTCCAATGCATAAGGATTGGGAAAGAAAGCAGCAAGAGAGAAATACTCTAAATAACACTTTGAATTGCAGAAAGGTTTAGACAATAGCAATGAAAGTTTTAACCAAAGATGAAAATAAACATAGTAATCACTTTTTATCATGGCAACAATTATGTTGTTAACTTTTAGCTGGCACCAATTAGGAAAAGGCTTCAATAAAGATTTGTTTTTTAATGCCAAATTTTGCATATATATGCACCCTCATATAATATGTCTTTGTTGTCACCTACAAAATCAACTGTGTATTTTTAAAAAATTAAGAATCAAAGAATTCTCCAATATCTGTGTCCAATATGGTGTCTGAAAATATTCTACATTAGTTAAGTATAGCTATATGTGATGTAAGTATCCTGAGAAATCATCATTAATACACAGTATGTATATATATATATATATATATATATATATATATATATATATATACATACACACACTATCCATTTATAATATCCTAAATATATGGAAACATTATGGACCTTGATGACTTGGTTGGATGGATCTAATACATTATAAGAGAATAGCAATTGCAAACCCGCATAGAATTACTAAAGAGGATTACCTCATAGCTTGGAGAAATATGAATATGAGTATTACCTTATAAACATGTTAAGGACAGCCGACTGGACGGTTATTCCTAAGTGACCCATATAAGCTGTCCAGTACAGTAGCATGCGCAGTCCTCCACATTAGCATGCACATTTAAATATTCCAAGCTAGAATTGCACACAGATAAGAATGGGAACACACATATGCTTGGATGGAGTGGACCACTAATTTTACACAACAGTTAAACTACTTTGGGCAGCTGCCCCTGGTAACATCACAATCTCAACACTCTGAAAGCCTTCTGTCACAGGAGGCCCCAGGTAAATACATTATGGAGCAGCAAAAGTCACATTTTAGTGCTAGCAGTGGTCTATAAGAGTTGCATCGTGGACTCTTGTGAACTATATTAATCCCTGGAAACAACTGTAATCCAATTTCACTGCCACTGATTTATAGAATAGAGTGGTAGGTCCTGTGAATATTTACATTCTGCTGAACAAATTTCAGATGCAAATCTCATACCTGTTTTTGTCTTTCTGACAGCTACATTAACTATAAAAATTAAAAATGTCTAACTCACTTACCAAAATTGTTAAGATGTCATTCAATACATTATAGAGACAATGACATGCTTACTATATTTATCTTAATAAACACTTTAAAAAGGATATTGCACTTCCCGAGTAAGGTGAAATGTCAGACATATCTTGCATGTCTCCACACTCCGATTTGATGAAGGATAGGGAAAGCCCATCTGTTGAGCTGGGTGGATGGGCTGGAGAGCAAGGGTGGTGGTTCATGTGGTGGGATGACATCTTGGTCCTCAAACTGGTCGTCTCCCTTGTCAAGTCTAGGGACTCTGGGGATGACCTGTCTTTTCCTTGAAAGGCTGATGATGGGGCACCCAAAGGGTTTTGAAATGGGTAAGCCATAAGGGGAAGAGGGGAATGGGTGGCGGAAAGAAGAGGATGAGAAGCTGGCAGCAGCTGAGAGAGGGGACTGATGTAATGAAGGATGGTGACTACCAGGCGGAGGCCCGGCAGCAGCCTGCTCATTTGAATTTTTTCGGACAACTAAAGGCAGAGCTTCAGTTTGGTCATTGGAACTAGGCATAGGAACATTGCCAAATGTGTCCAGGGGGTTTGGAATGATGACATCGCCAAAGCACTGCAGACGTTGGTTGGTGGTATGAAAGTTGTGGTTTTCTCCGCTCATTGCAAACCTGGCCTGAGGCATTTGGAGGGGTGGGAAGACCTGAGGAAGTTGGCGTATAGGTTTGGCAGCAAACACTTTCACTACAGTGTCCACTACCTGGGACATGGCTGTGTTCAGTTCTTGTTTTAGTGTTTCTGCCAAGTGTTTACCTTCAGGATGGAAAGTGCTATGAAAATGATCTTTGTCTTTAGGTCCCTCTCTTTTGGGTTGATTATCTGGTGCTATGTCATGCTCCCTGATAAGGGCTCGGGCGCGATCAAGGAAATGCCCAGGATCTAAGTCAAACATTTCACTGTCTGACCTGCCCACAGAATCCCGGGCCCTAGCATCGATGAGTTCAGAATGCATGCTGTCTTCGGAAAGATTGCCATCTTCGTTATTTTCAGAATCAGTGCTATCGTAGATCTGGTAGAACTTCTCCTGCAGCTGGCGCAGCTGTTTTTGCATGTCCTCCAGCTGCTGTTTCAGCTGTCTACGTTCCTCTCGCTTCTGCTCTTTTCGAGCTGAAACCAGCTGCTGGAAACTCTGTTGCTGCTGCTGAGGCAGTTTTTGTTTGCGCTTGTTCTCTCGATAGCTTTCTCGGGGGCTTATGGACCGAGGGGCTCCCTCTCTTTCATTTTCATTGCCCCTCATGGCCACATTTGGGGAATGGCTCATACCTCTAATTATATTTTCAACCCGGGCACGCTTTGCTCTCAGGTGTTCATCACACAACCGTTCCATTTCTAACTGGCTCAACGTAGGCCTGCCAAAAGGAGAAAGACACTCTTGGGGGCTGTCTCTTGAAGAGTTGCTGCATACATCCTCCTGATGTATCTCGGAGCCTGTGCTGGAGAGCCCACTGGCTGGGAAACCAGGCTCAGCGCCACCATTTTTGTTCATGTTATTTTTCAACAGCTGGGAAATGATGGTCGCTCCTGGAAAAGGCATCATGGCATCTTCGTAGGAGTTCGCCCTTTTCAGCAGCTTGCGGAGTACATTTGACTTTTCCCCATCTGCATGCTGCACCACTGAATACTCAACATCCTGCTCGGAACCTTGGGGATTCATGGCACTGTGAAACGCAGCTCTTGCTTTAGCAAAAAATGCAGATGCTGTCCCTACAGTCCTTTTCACTCCAATGTCAACTCTTCTTCTCTTGGTCTGCCTGCTTAAGAGGGCTGCGCTGTCATGGTCAGGCATCACTGGACTGTTATTGTGCCATCTTCAAAAGCTTGTCAGCTGGGCACAGCTCGAGAATCCTGGGACCCTGGCCAACAGAACAAAAGGACTGATGAATCATTTTCTTTAAATTTCTCCAAATTTCCTGACCTCAATCCTGAATAAAATGCAAAATGCATAGGCTGTGGGATTTATGGCACATTACAATTATTGCAATTTATTATGCACTCTGCCTGAAATGAAACATTTTTAAATATTTCTGCTTCACTGGTTTAAGATGGATTAAGATTTAAGTAAAAAAAAAAAACAGGAATACAAAATAAAATAAAATAAAAACTGCTTAAGCACCCGTAATATGATTCTTTTGCTCAAGTGCTTAAAAGGATATGGTTTATCTCCAATAGTAGATTAGAAGAATCCTACTATAGACAAGCAATTGATTACATTTAGATATTATGGACATAGATGAAAGTACATCCTACTAAGGAGAAGAGAAATACAAGATGAGAAGAACAAGCAGAAAATCATTTCAGGCAGAGTCATGTTTATAAAACTGATGTTCTTAAATACTCTAGACCCATAACTAGGTTGTACTTGATGTTATCAAATTCTTTTGGTATTTGAAAATTTTCTGACATTAAAAAAATCACAATGAAGAGAGAAAATAGAAAGAGTCAATTTTTAAAAAATTTCTTCCTGTTTGGATTACTCAATTTCCTTGCGTTTCCTGTTGATGAAGCTAAGTTTACTGCACTACATGGCACTTCATAGAAGTGATCCAGCAATTTATTAAAATATTACTTCAATTTTTACATAGCACCAGAAATTCTATGTTTACTGAGAGTGAGCAATAATTAAAAAAAAAGATATATCCTCAAAATCTGATACTGGGTCATTAAACCAACAGGGATCTAGTTTAAAAATGTCATTAGTAAATAAAGTAGATTTAAAAAAAAAAAAAGATATACTAATGTATAATGTACATTGGACAACAACACAATTTCTCCACCCAGGGATGCCTTAAAGGATGTATAATTTTATAAGTTTCGACTGGACCAAAAAGAAATTAAAACATGTAACAATGACCCAAATGGACATTGAAGAGAAGACAAGTTTATGAAAGCAGCTTCCTTTTTAGACCTCTGCCATATTTTTACATTATAGAATATCGTTCCATATAATGAACTGTGATTCATCTTAGCTGCAGATCTAGCGCAGAACTTTATCTTATGGTAAATTCTGCAATTGTCGATTCTGTCTTGTTCATGTGACCTAATAACGAAGTAGATAGTATGCACAAGTCAGTAGTGTTTATTTTACCACTACAATTTCTTTTCGCCAATTTGAAGTTGACTATTCATATGTGTGAACTGCCTATATTTCATGTTGTTTGCGCAAAACCCTTTCTAGCCCTGTAGATCTTGTGCTTAGGTTTATAGAAGGATTTTTCCCTATAGGTGTCATGTGACCTCATGTTTGTCCATCCCTGTGTGGAAGACCACATCGTGTTGCATACCACAAATAATATTAACTACAGAATGAAAAAAAAAATATGAAACTGTTTTTGTAAAAGGATGTGTAACCTCAACAATAAAGTTAAATAACAAAAAGAAGTTGGCCAAGTAAAAAAAAACTTTTTTTGTTGTAGTCATCTCTGTATCTCTCTTCATTTTGCTATGGTTCTATCTCTCTCATCCCCCCACCATTCTTTCCTTTTTTTTTTTTTTTTTTTGCATCTCTATCTCTTTTTCTCTCTTCTTGAGATTGAAACGAGCATAGGAAAAAAAAAATAAAGCTATTTTTTTCATGGTGTGTTCACCTAATATTAAACTATGCATTTGCTTAACAGAGCACATCTTAGAAATCATAGGGTATATTGCCAGAGGCTGCCTGCAGACTTTTTGGAATTGGTCCCATCTTTTTCGGTTCACCTGTAAAAACATCTACGCGCTCCCTAGGACTGCATCTGTGGCTAGTTTTAAAGGATGACTGTTCATGCAAATAGGCATCATTTCAGCATGACAAAACCATCACTTATCCAGAGAGTAGTCATCAAGAGCGTGCAAAAAGATAGGTCAATGTAGAAGAAGATGACAGCACAGGTCCAGTTAAGACTGGCAGGCACCATTATCATAGTAAGATATTTTTCTTTTCTTATTTTGCTAAATAAAAAGTCAACCAGGGATATATTAAATAACTATAAGTGCTTAGACTCCAGTGCAAACATAAATTTGCCAATATTGACAAATCTTTACAAAAACATAAAATGAGATAAAAAGCATAAAATTTGTCAAAAAAACAACGGGTTATAAAAAACATTTACTAGCACCATTACTCTAAAATATGAATTGCAACTAGAAACATAGAGACGTGACGGTAGAATAGACCAACTGGTCCATCAAGTCCGCCACCTTTTTATAACATTTAGTTTTTTCTTTATTTGCTTATTAGGGTTTTGTTTTTATAATTTAATATTGTTCCTTCTGTGTATAGACCTGTGTTTATCCTTAGCATGTTTAATTTCACTTGTTGATTGAACTAGGCCTTAATCCTATGATGAAATGCAAATTAATGCACACATATGTACTCTTACCCACGCAGTGTTATTACATATAGATGCATACATACATCTATAGGTATAGTAAATGTTTAAAATTTCAAAATCTTAATATATATATTTATCCTATAATTCCCTTTCCTATATTTATAATGTTTAGCAAAATACTTCTTGTATTCCTTTAAAGTTCCATGATCATTGGTACACGTGTCTAACAGGGCTGCAAATCTATAACAGCAAAAAGTATCCAGCGTATTACTTAATGTGAACCTGTTCTTATGTTTGAGACTTATAGCTAATATAAAGTTTTGTCTGTTTTAAAACAGGTAAGCCTAGGATTTTGGGTATTTCAGTTTAAAAGTTGTCCAAAGTGATCCTGACAGTCACTGTCTGTAATTTATCTCAGACACAGAACAAGGTTTAAATTCAATATAATGGCAAAATGATTAATAAAAATAAATGTGTTTAAACCAGAGATGTTTAACTGCTTGTTTTGTTCTGGTTTTGCAGCTGCCAGCCGGTGATAAATTGACCCATTTAGCTACATGTCAGCGGCTGTGAAATACACATGTTGATCTTGTAAATAAAAAAAAAAAAGAACAAAAAAGATTTTAAACAACTATTTTGCTAAAATGTTCAATATTTTATGCTATGAAAAATTAGTGGGTCAATAAAATATTTTTTTCACATAGCTAAATTTGTAGCATTCAAAACATCTGTTTATTCTTTACTATATTTTATCACATATCGTAAATTTTATTGAATATTACAAACTCCTTTTTACAATAAAATGCTATTGGAAACATAATCACGTCAAAAATATGGCATTTTTTTTTGCATCATACAATAAACTATGTTTTTAATAAGTGGGATACAATATAAAAAAAAATACAGAAAAACACACTTTTTAACAAATAAAAAAATCTTTTCTCTGAACTTTGTGCTATATCGGGTGTAAAAACAGCACAATTTTTTGCAGATGATAAAAATATATTTTTGTTCATGAAGGGAACAATTGTTATTAAATGATTTAAAAGTATTTTTTATTTTTTTATAAATATCTGCTTCACAAATAATACTGAAGCATTTCACTCTCTAAAAAGTTATAAGAAGTATCATCCTAACTTGTAAGAAGTGTCATCACAACTTGAATATTATTTAAATGTGACAACAGTTCCCAAAGTGTGCAAATTTCATGTACGGTACACGTTCATCTGACCATTTTTTATAAAATGTGAATCACATTACAGGTAAATGTAATCTATGTGTGTTTTATAATTCTGGGCAACACCAAATTATTACCTCTAGTAGTATTCCTGAAACTACAGAGATGCATACATTTTACAATTTTTGCAAAAAAAAATTAATTGTATTTATTTCAGTTTTTATTTTTTACTAAAACTACAGTTTGATGTTCACTTAAACATATATGGTTCCATTACACTATAGGAAAGTTGCAAATGCTATTTTTTTTTTTTTCCTCTACATTCTTCACTTTGGACTGTCAGTAACTGTGGCAATCTAAATCGTGACAGTTTTTCTCACACATGTATATTATATTTTGATAGATGCTTCTACAGAAAATTTTTGGATTACACTCTTCATCACTGTTAAAAAGTTTAATTCAACCAAATGCAAATCCATCATGCTTTTTGGTGAAGGTGGGTATTGAAAACTCTATTTAAAGCTTAAATTTATGGCATAATTTTGAAAATATTCCAGATTCTAAAAAAAAAA